TGCTTCTCAACAGTTGAAATTCTATTTTTTAGCAGAAACAAACAGGCGCTAAATTTCTATGCTAGGATGTATTGCTTTTCTTGTCTTGTAGAACCTCATTCATAAAACAAAAACGAATTTCAATGCTAGGATGTATTATCTTTTTGTCTTAACTTGACTATCTCGTTGTTACGTAGAAACTCTACTAATTCATAAATGCATCCTATTGAAAATGAAAAGATAAAATTTTGATCAATCATATTTCAAGTGTATTAGCATGCTAATTCAACAATAATGGCAAGTGACTTTCCACTTATTCATGCGAGTGGCTGGGAATGATTCAATAGTCTATTTTCAATAGTGAGAAAGAAGAGGAAGCTACCAATGAATGCGTAACAGTAAAGTTTATATTCAGACAAATAAAAAATGAATCAAATTATCCAAATAAAGCCCTCCAAAAGATCCACTACCAATTTTTCTCCCTAGCTTAAACTTTTCGCCAACCTCCTCTCCACTCTCATCTCCCGTCTCTCCCAACGCCGCCGCCTCCTCCAACGCCGCCGCCTCCCTTTTTCTCCCCCCCTGTATCTATTCTCCCCACCGTCTCTTATCCTCCCGCCTCTGTATTCTCTCCTGCCATCCATCGCCGTTTTCTCTCTTTTCCCTCTCTGGCGACGACCGTTCTTCTCTCTCTCTCTCACTTCTCTCTTCTATCCGGCGAAATATCAGGCGGAGATGGAGTTTTCCACGGCGAATTGGGCGGTTGGTAAACAGATCTCCTAGTAAAAGATCTGAATCTCCAGTTATTGCCTCTACTGAATCTCCAATAAAAGAGACTACTGGTGGGGATTCTACTGTGGGTTCGAGGAGTGCTGCTTCTCCTCGAAATCGATCCCCTACAAGTGGATATTCGTCATCCTGTGAAGAAAAGCCATGTCTGGTTGGGCACGTTCGACACGGCGGAGGTGGCGATTATGTCAGATTTTGGTGACGGTTCCGGGGCGGCGGCGCAGTGAAGGTGGTGGTGGGACGGTTTGGTGTAATGGTGGTGGGGATTCGGCTATAGGTTCGAGGAGTGCTGCTTCTCCTCGCAATCGATCCCCTACAGGTGGAGATTCGTGATCCTGGGTAGAAAAGTCGTGTCGGTTGGGCACGTTCGACATGGTGGAGGCGGCGGTTACGTCAGATTTTGGTGATGGTTAAGGCGCGGCGGCACAGTGAAGGTCGTGGTGGGACGGTTTGG